TCGTTTATGTGGTGCTGGGTCTCAGGAAAATGGCCGGTAGAGGCTGACAAGGGCTAAGTGGCATCAGCACAGTGGAGGAAAGCGGAGGACAAGGCCACCAGGACTTTCTGCTTTTCATGGCTGCCCCTCCCCTTGTGGGGAGAACACTGAACCGCTACTCTGGGCTTTGGACGAGGGGTGCAGCCTCCGGTCCTGACTTGTAACCTTTGCCAGTGAGCGATCTGGAGCAAGGGAGACTGAGGCCCTACTGGTCTTAGCCTGTTGAGCCTGGTGTCGAGCCTCCACCATGTGAACTGAGGCTGGGTGGAGGGAGGGAGTCCTCAACCTTTGGGCCATACTTGCCAGAAAGTTGGCTGTTTTAGTCCATGTGGGTTACTGTAACAAAATACCATAGACTGGGCGGCATATAAACAGAAATTTTTTTCTCACAGTTCTGAAGGGTGAAGGTCCAAGATCAAGGTGCTACACGCTCAGTGTCTGGTGATGCTTCTTGGTTCACAGACAGCTGTCCATGTCAGAATGTGCCCACATGGCAGAAGGCAGGAGGGAGCCCTCTTGTAGGGTCTCTATCCCATTCATAAGGGCTCTACTCGCATGACCTAATTTCCTTCCCAAAGTCTTGTGTCCCAATACCATCTTAGACTTGGAATTCACACAATGCTGCTTCTGAACTATTCACTGTCAATAATAAAAATAGGCCAGCCTATTTTTCAAGGAAGAGGATTTAGACTCTATTTCATTATGGAAAGGTATCAAAGAATTTGTAGTCACTTTTTTTTTTTTTTAGTTCGAGTCTCACTTCATCGCCCAGGCTGGAGGGCAGTGGCATGCTCACGGAGTCAACCTGCTGGGCTCCAGCAATCCTTCTGCCTCAGCCTTCCTAGTAGCCAGAACTACAGGTGTGTGCTACCGCACCGGCCAGTTTTTTTATATAGTGTAGAGATGAGATCTCACCAAGTTGCCCAGGTTGTTCTCGAACCCATGGGCTAAGGAAATCTGCTCACCTCAGCATTCCAAGGGGCTGGGATTACAGACTTGAGCCACTGTGCCTGGGTAGACACATTTTAAAACCACCACTACATATGCATTGATGTCTAAGAAGCACAGTGCTGCAACATGTTAAAATTTGAAAAATTTAAGTGAATGGTATATGATAATTTATTGTTCTACTTTTTTCATTCTTATATGTGCTTGAAATTTTTCAAAATAAAAGTTTGGGAGGAAAAGGTCACTGTGCAGTTGTGTGAGGCCAGCTTAAATTTTTCCCTTTTGTAGCCAATTTGATTTTTTGCCTGGATCCTTGAAGAAGTCTTCCTTTATTCTGGAAGTTGAATAGGTTAACTTGAACATTTCTAGTTTTAGAGTGTCTCTTAATACATTGTCCTGGACTGCAATGTATGCCTCCATCTAGAGGTTCAATTCTTTTTCTAGGTAATCACCATTATTACATCTTCTGGATTCTTCCTGGTCCATTTTGGGGGGCATTTTGCATTTAAGACACAGATTATCCTCATGTTGGATCATTTCTATATTCTGATTCTGTAAGCCTTCTGTATATGCTTTAATTTTTTCCAACTGCATGTATTGTGACCATTGTTTACTTTTCTTCTTAGTTTTCAATGGCGTCTTTTCTATCCTTTCCCATTTGTACTTCAATGAATTAGTTCTTTAATAGTATTGTTTGGAACTTTAGTTTATATTTTTAAGTCTGATGATACCCTTTTATTTTTTTCTGTTGCTTTGTTTATATTCTTTTCTCATAAGTTCTTATTTTAAGTTATTTATTGTATACATAATTCATACACACACAAATACACACACATATAATTTACTACTGTTCCCTTAATTATGTATTCTTTCAGGTCAGTTTCTTTATCAATATTTGCATGGTTTCTCCCTTTCTTGCCTTCCTTTTCCTTTATTAGAAATTGTCTTTCACTGTGAAATGCCTTGGATCAGTGTTCTGCTTTTTCACAATTTCAAGGATTAGTCCATCCCTTTGGAGAATACTCATAGCCCTTTGGTAATTTTCTCAATGGGAAACTACACAGAATCAGAGAGAGCTATGACCAAGAAGAGGCGAAGAAAAGGGCAGATGTTCGAGTTGTTATTCTTCAGACATGTGAATCCCCAGATGACTCAGGGGTGGTGTGTGGTTAGGAGCCAGGCTATGATCTCCCAATGATCTATGCTCCAAAATCTTTTGTTTCCATCACTGATATCAGTTTTTAAAGTTTATTGTCTTACATTAGCTCCCTTTCCTTGTTAGCAATTATTTTTTTATTTTTTTTACTGAGAGGCTTTAAAAATACCTATTTGGGGTAGATTTTGTTAAGAAGTAGGGAAAGAAAAATCTGTAAAGTAGTTTCAATTCACCTCTTAACTTAGAAGTCTAATCTCTTCTAAATATTCTCTTCTCATATTTATGTATTTATAGCAGGCTACAGGAAGAGGTAAATAATACTTTTTACAATAAAAAAAATCTAATGCTTTGTGCTAGAAGTGATTTCAGAAACTATCCACTTTCCAAATTCACAGAGCCAATTAATGACTGAGGAAAGGGTCTCCTAATTTTTTTCCCCCATCTTCCTCTGTCTCACTAATGGGTAGAATTCTATACATTAAAAAGAGAGAGCAAAAGCAAGAGAGAGAGAACTTTTTCATGCTTCTTTTTCTGCCTCTATTCCAATTACACATTCTGGGTCTTTGTCAGGGGTAGCTCTGGGGGCACAAAAATTGAGGCTCTGACTATAATCCTGAAAGAGTACACACTGGATAGAGTCTTGATAAACTGAAGAAAAGTCACCAGGGAAATTGTAAGACTTTTTCCTTTCTTCTCTGGTTAAAAACAAATAAACACCGCCAGGACTACATATGTCTCATCTTAGGGCATGAGACACTGTAAAAGTGAAGAGTTTGATTTTTTGGAATGAACTGCCTCGGCAGCTATGACAACTAACGAGAACTGAGAAATTATCCCAGTGATAATTGTATTACAAGTACATGCATTGGATTTTAATTCTGTCAGTGGGAAAAAGACTGGCCCAGTTTAAATTTTTTTAAAGATATTTTTCAGTCTTGTGAGAAGTGAACTCACCCATCCAAAATCAAAGGATGGACACAGAGGCGTAGAGTGCAGCAGAAGCAAGACTTTAATGAGGGCCTTGCAAGATCGGGTGTCAGGTGGGCAGGCACACCCAGAGCAATTACAGCGAGCAATTTATTTATTTATTTTTGAGCTGGAGTCTCACTCTGCCAGCCAGACTGGAGTGCAGTGGCCACTCCCGGCCACCGCAGCCTCGACCTGCTGGGCTTCGGCGATCCTTCTGCCTCAGCCTTCCAAGTAGCTGGAACGACAGGCGCACGCTACCACATCCGGCTAATTTTTGATTTATTGTAGAGATGAGGTCTCGCCCAGTTGCCGAGGCGGGTCTCCAACCCGTGGGCTCAGCAATCCACTCACCTCAGCCTCCGAACAATTTATTTTCTAATACACAAGTCCCTCCCCTGGTTCCTCATTAGCCAAGGTCTGTGGGATCGCACTCTCTCCCAGGCGTCGCCTAAGCAGTTTTGGTCCAGAGAAGGTTAAAATACGTGCTTGTTGCTATTTGATTGGAGGGCTTCAGCTTCCTCATTTCTAAGTTTTATTTTTCCTGAGATGATGTGACTATGATCACGCCTGCCTTTCTAACCAGCTGTGGGTCACGTCCAATTCTTAGCACGTGCCCTTGGTCATGTTAGCAGACTTCTTTCCATTTTATGAAAGTAAGTCATTATCTTTCACAGTCTCCTTTGCAGAAGTGAGTGACCAGTAAAAAGCAGATAGAAACCCTTGGGTGTGCCTTCCAGAAAAACCCTTTGAAGGTGTTGGCTCAACTGGCAGATAAACGCCCCTTTACCTTTTCTGTTGCCTGGGATAAAGACCTGCCGACAGAGACTGGCAACTGTAAGACCAGAATGGACACCAAGGACGGCGGAGCCAAAAGATGGAAGGCATTTGGTGGGCTTGCCACTCCAGCCTTGTGAAGCTCTTTCCTGCTTTTTTCGGCAGGGAGAGTCAAGCCTTTTTAAAGTTTTAAGTTTATATTTGCCTTAACAGTGGCTGTTGGGCCCAGAAGACAGGACCCCCTTTTCAGTTGCCTGTTTTTTTGAACCGTCTGGGGTGTTTTTAAAAATCCAAAGGCTGATTTCACTGACTAGGAACATGATATTTGCAAAAGCCGACCTCGACAACGCTAGCGTACAGCAAGCTTCGAGAACCGCTGCCTTCCTTTGTGGTTTTATCCCGGAAGCGCTTGGCTTTCGGGCCGGCGGCGGTCAGGGCTGGGGGACCCGCGGCGAAACATGCCCTCCGG